AAAATGATAGAGGGCCTCTTTGAGCGGACAATCTCCACTAGCACTTGAACTGTCGACCGGTTGCCAAGCCCTCGACAGTTCCTGCTTAAACAACTCATGATGATCGGCAGGTCTGGATTCCAGAACCCGCCGCTACCCCCGTTTTTTGACACCAAAGTCTCCATTAAAATCATCTTCCTTTTCTTCGGACCAGTATTATGATCATTTCTTCTCTCTCCATTTTCTGCCACTAGCACCATATCACCTCCTCTCAACTCACTACCTTCATACTCCCCTGACCTGCCTTCCTGTGGACTACATCCACCATCACCCACAGACCCCCTCCAACCATCACCCATATCTCCACCCTGAACTCCCATGGACTCCGCATCCACTGTCCCCCTTCTCCTAGGCCTCCATCCCTGACCAGCCACCTGCTACCACCTCCCCCCTCCCTTCTAGAGCCTGCCTTTAGCCAAGGACCATATGACTTATCTCCCCCATCCTTAAAGCCTTCAAAACGTTGGGGACAAAATTTATCCACATGCCCCATCATGCCACAGATGAAACAAAATAAAATAGGGGAAGACGTTCACACTTGAATTCCACCCAGACCCAATCATCCCCACTTCGAAGCTTCATTCGTTTCCTTAATGGTTTTGATACATCAAGTACAACACGAACCCTTAAAAAAACTCTACACCCCCCTCTGAAATTATTCTGATCCAAGCTCACAAAAAGCCCTAATGCCTTTCCCACCCTTTCAGCAACTTTGGGAGTCATCATCCGCAGGGGAAGCCCATGTATTTGGATCCAGAATTCTGCGTGAGATAAGGGGACAGATTTAGGATTATCCAAAGGACCCAACCTGTGAAGGATCAGTAGATGCCTTTCACAAGACCATGGCCCATCTTGTATAACACGGTCAAGATCAACAGGATGATAGAATTGGAATAGGAACCTATGCTCTCCCAAATCACGAATGGAGACTCCTCTCCCTGGCCTCCATAAGTCAGCCATCACATCCCGAAAGATATTTAACTTCACAGGCTTATCCATCAGAAGCCTTTCCACCACCACTAGTTGCGATTGGGTCTCACCTGCCGTCATAGGAGTCTGTCCTACGTCCAATTCTTCAGCCTCCTCGTCCATGAGATGCATTCTCGCGCACATATCCTCAATCGACGTCGCGGACGTAGCCATGTTCAACAAGAATCAACAATCACCAAGCAAAAGGGAGACGAAACCCTAGAAACCCCTAGGGATGAAAACCTGGATTCTATATGTTTGTCTTCTTTACTTATCTTCTATGTTGCACGGAAATCCATCCCTTTGGTCATTTATTCTACATAACTGCTTCCAGATAGGAGAGTCAATATTCTTAGGCCTCATGTTCCCTTTTGTTTGATATGATTCATGAATTTTGCCCACAAAGAGGCCCCCTTTTTCCAAACCAAAAAGGTTTTGAAGTATACTCAGTATAAGTTAGCTAGCATTTTCTAAAAATGATGTGCTCATTTAGCTTTCAGTGGTTAAACTTGAAATATGATACAAAGTATACCGTTGTAGGCATGCTTGTCACGGCGTCGCCTAGGCGTCGCCTAGTCGCCGACTAGGCATCCTGGCGCTAGAGAGTGAATGCCGTCTTCACTCGCCTCGCCAAAAGAGGAATAGTCGTGATAGGCGTCCTCCAGTCGTCGCCTAGGCGCGGTTTTGCGACAAGTCGTCGCCTTTTTTGCCGGTCCAACAACCGTCCGCAGGCCCAGAAAAAAATAGATTTAGGCTTTTAATTGAAAACAAAGCCCAAAGGGTTCAGATAATCTTACTGGCTATTTTGTCGCCATCGTCGTCTAACTCAAGTCGTAGAGACAAGCCAGACGAGTCGGAGGAATCAAATGAACCGCGGCAACTCCAGGGAACAGGAGAGCTCGCCCGTCTCACCCTCCCTAAGTCCCTCGCGGAAGCTTATTAGCGCTGAGGAGACCAGTACGTTCTACGGAGTATATTTTTTCTAGTCTAGTGGAGTAATATTTTAATTAAGTTGTATATGTATATATATACGTATATACGGAGTATTTTGTAAACATGATATGCGCAATTATACCCAAATATACCGAGTTCAGATTTGCTTTGCAATATATTATTAATTGTTAATTTATTATAGGGAAAAATACGGAAAAAGTACTTGTGATTGGGCCCGTTTTCAGAAAGGGTCATGTGTTTCAATCTTTATCAAAGAGGTTCATGTGTTTAAATTCCGTTATCACAAGAGGGTCACGCCGTTAAAAACGTCTGAAAAAAACCGTTAAAAGTAACTTCGATTTTCAAAAGTGCCCGAAAAATTAAAAGAAAAATATCGAAAGGTGCGCCTCGTCAAGATGACCTCCAAACCACCTTTGCCTTTGGATTTTTCAGATCTGTTGAATTATTTTTTAAAAATGATTTCGCTAATATCACTTTTCCGATGGACTATCCGGTGACAAGGGTGGCTTAAAACCAAAAAGAAAGATGTCCTAGCGGTCGTCCTATTGAGGCGCACCGTCCGGTATTTTTGTTTTAATTTTTCCGGCACTTTTGAAAATCGGAGTTACTTTTTCAGGCGTTTTTAACGGCGTGATCCTCTTGTGATAACGAAATTCAAACACATGAACCACTTTGATAAAGAATGAAACACATGACCCTATCTGAAAACGCGCTCAACCACAAGTACTTTTTCGTACTTTTCCCTTTATTATATACTATTAATAAAAACAAAAACTATTATATATAATGAAATGCGTACTTTACTTTTTGTAATATATAAAGAAATACAATTTGATGAGTAATATATTATATATAACTATATATAACTATGTATATATAATATAATATAAAATGTGCAACTAGTCGCCTAATTGTCGCCTAGGCGGGCACCTTATTGCCTAGGCAATATGGCAGTTGGGTGGCGCCGCGACTCGACTTACCGCCGTGACAAGTATGGTTGTAGGCCTCACTAGTAGAAACCTGAACTAATAAGGCATCGATCGGAGTATAACATTTTTTACGTAGTACACATCCAGAGTTTACTATAGGAAGTAATTCAACACTTAGCGCCTCAGCTCACCCGTTCCAGAATCATCGATGGCCTCTCTCGTTTAACCCTAGCTATCTGCACGATTCTCCATCACCGGCTTTCTCCATCGATCCTGCTGCGCGTCTCACGGCTGGTTGGTCCTCGCTAGGTCTTCTTCCTGAGCTATTATTGTCAATTTTTGGTATGTAAATAATCCTTCATCTCCCCCCTTAGTAATCCTTCAAATTTATCATCTACTAATGAAATCCTTCCAATAATCCTTGTTGATTCTCGCTGGTTTAGTTTTCCAGCGCTTTAGCTTCCATGGCGTTCGGCGTTTTAGTTAAAAAAAAAACTGATAACCAAACAGAGCCATAAACTACTCTATATTATGACTCGTTTGTCCATTTTTATAGTGATGATTCGTAATGTAGCTCTTCCCATTTTCCTTTTATTTCAAAAAATACGAAGTAATTACTTAACGACTGAAACCTTTCCAAATTTTTGAGACAAGATAGGATGGATCCATTACACCAAGTAACAAATGAAATGCTTATATGAGTTTTGACTTCTACGCTAGTACACTCTTAATTTTACAACAGTTGTTATTATTACTTATACCTGTGAGAGTCTGAGTGATATGTATCTGTCTCCCATATTTTCATTAGTTGAGATATGTATCTGTCTCCCCTATTTTCATTAGTTTATTGCATAGACTTTGATATATTTGATATTTATTCACTAAATACACTGCAATACACTAAATACTTTTATAGCATATATTTTTTCAGTACTGTAACCATCTTCACTTTGATATTTATTCACTAAATACACTGCAATTATTTCAACACCAAACTCTTGGTCTTGCTTGGCATTTGTAGCGAATCACTACTACATTAAGTGTGTTTGTAATAAATAGTAAGACTATGGTAGTGGGGAACTCTGTTTCTAATTTTACTAGAGAAAGTTAGGATAATATATCTAGATGATGAAAGGGATTTCATTTCTAGGATTTATTTTACAGTAAATTTCATGTACTGAAAAATTATCAATTACGCTAGACTATTCGTTTGATAGATATAGTTATCAATAAAATCTGTTGATTATACAGTGTATGTCAATTTCTCAGTTACAATTACACGTTTTAGATGTTCTGTTTTGTGGTAGGTTGAATGTGGTAGGTAATCAATAGGATGAAGTGTAACCTATTTGCTTTCTGCTTTCATAGATGTGGAAAGTGTTATAGGCTTTGCTGGTTATTGGTCTGGTGCTTGATACATCATACATGTCGTAGTATGAAATATTAACTACCTACACCTTTACTCTTTAGCATAGTTGTTATGGCGTCGCTGCATCGTTGCCTTATCGTCGCCTTGGCGTCGTGGCGCTCTGAGCAGGTCGCCATGAAAGCTCGACACGCCATAAGTCAAAAGGTGTGTGCGTGTGTGTATAGATGAATTTATACACACACACAAACTCTGTACAATATATCCCTAGGATATTTTTGCAATTTTGCTTGGTGTGCTACCTTAGAAGTTTGATAATGGCATATATAAGAGATAAGGTTCTTTGATGGTGTTTGTTTAGCAACATTTACTACATACTATTTATAAAGAAGTCAATGCTGTGTTCAAACAATTGTATTTATTATGATATAACATCAGTCTCTAGCATATGGCTCAAGGGAGGTGTTGGCTGCGCGAGATTCTTCAGAATGAGCTTTTTCAGTTTTAAACTATAATATTATTAAAAGAGTTTTAGTGTGATTTAATCCGTACGGTAAGATGTATCTGTTGCTGTGGTGCACCTTTTTGGCGAGAATAGTGTTGCAATTTCCTTTTACTTTTATATAGTAATAGATGTCTTCAGTTTGTTACATATTAGGAGTATATATTACTCATACATTAAATGTCTCAGTTTTAGTTTTTAATATTATTCTTACATCAATGAATCTGCATCTTTTTGGCAGATTTTTGTTAATTTTCAGACATAAGAAAATCTTATGCAGAGGTTCCTGACGATTACACATAGATAGAAGATCTGCACGAAGAGCAAACAAATTATGGTGAGAGAGCACAACATTGAATCATTTTACACCAGGTTGCGCAATTCTGCTTTGGCCTCTGCTTCTTCAACCCCTCTATTAGTGTTCCCCTCCACCTCAGATGTTGATTCACTTTGTGCTCTAAAAATCATAGGCCATGTGCTTGAATTAGATTCAGTCAGATATGCTTGTTATCCTGTGTCAAGTTTTAAAGAGATCCATAAGTACACTGGGAGTGATCTGGGAGGTTCAAATTCAGCTGAACCAATCACTATTTTGTTGATAAACTGGGGATGCCAAAGGGATCTCCGGAAGATTTTGGACATTGGTCCTTTGACCCGAGTCTTTGTTGTTGATAGTCACAGGCCTATCCATTTGCACAATTTATGCAATGAGAATGATAGGGTAATTATTCTCTACACTAGGGATGATGAGCAACATACAGATTTATCGTATGATTTTGATGTTTCAGCTTTGGCAAATGCAAGTGATTTGAACAGTGATGATGAATTTGAAGATGACTCTGAAAGTGAGAGTGAAGAAGAAGATGATGACGAAGATGATGATGACGTGGAAGGAACTCGGAAGAAGAAGAGGAGGGTTTCTGGAGAAAAAGAAGGGGGTGATGATCCTGTTAAGCTTTTCAAGAAACTGAAAAAAGAATACTATTATATGGGCACGTTCCATGGTAAACCATCTGGATGCTTAATGTACGAACTCTCTCATTTCTTAAGAAGAAACACAAACGAGATGCTTTGGTTAGCATGTGTTTCTTTGACTGATCAGTTTGTTCATGAGAGGCTTACTGATGAGAGATACCAAGCTGGCGTTATGGAACTTGAGCAACATGTCAACAGCTCCGGCAACTTAGACTCCTCTGTTACCTCTGTCACCTTAAAAGATGGAACTAAGGTATCGGCCCCAGATTCGTCTAGAATTTCATATGATGATGAGCCAAGGCTAATGTTGTTACAGGAGTGGAATCTTTTTGACTCAATGCTCTGTTCGTCCTACATTGCTACCAAACTGAAGACTTGGAGTGACAATGGTATTAAAAAGATGCAACTCCTTTTGGGGCGGATGGGGTTCGCCCGTGATGAGTGTAAACAGAAGTTTGAGTATATGAGTGTGGAGATCAAGAGGAGGATGAAGGACATGTTTGTCCAGTATTTACCTGAATTTGGACTAACTGACTTCTACTACCGTGGGATTTTGTTATTGCATGGGTACAGTTCAAAACTCTCAGCTGCTGATGTCGTCTACGGAGTCACTGCCCTTTTAGAAGGTTCCAATGCTTCCAGACAGTTTGGGGAAGCTTACGACGCGCTTTCGGTTAATAATCTCGATAAGCTGGAAAACGGGATGAGGAAAGCGATTAGGGTTCAAAGGGTGATTCTTAGACAGGGAAGTGCAGCGATAACCAAGAAAGGGTCCATAGGGAGCGGGAGTAAGTTCAGGTGGGTCAAACTTGAGGATTCGGCAGACACATCACTCTTATGTCACCCTCAGGCGTTGACCAAGTTTGGGTATTTCCTCATGGATGTGTTACGTGAGAAGGGAGCTAGGATGAAGCCATTGATATGTGTTTGTTACAATCAGGAAAGGGAGAAGGTTTTGATTGTAGCTGTATGTGGTAAGCCGCGGCTCGGGGCAGTTCAAGGAAATGGCTTCGGGATTGCTTTTAGGGGTGCGGCAGAGGAGACAGGGGCCGAGTTCTTCCACGAACTGTTTGAGTCGTCGTGGATAGTGTTGGATGCAATTGCAGTGAATTCATTTATGATTAGGCTTACAGAGAAGCTGTGGTGATGGTTATTAGAAAAACAGCCTTTGGAATTTTAGGTTTCTTAATGTGGTTGCAGCTTTTTGCCAGCTTAAGATTTATATGTTTGGTTTGGAAACATACCTATTTTATAAGCTTATTGTCAGTTTGTTTAGGCTTAGCTATAACTTCATGCACAGGTGATGCCTTTTTAATTTGTGTAGATAGCACGGTTTTAAGCTTATCTTTATTTTTTAACCTGCAGGTTACATGTTACCATATGGCTCTAGAAACTGGCTTCCAGGAAGTGATCATTCATAGTTTGTCATCCTTCATTCAACTTTCATAGTTTATGAAGAAACTGGCTTCCAGAAGTGATCATTCATAGTTTGTCATCATTCATTCAACTTTCATAGTTTAATTCATAGTTTAATTCATAGTTTCATAGTTGATTTTTTGACAGCCTAACATGATGAAGGGATAAATTTTGATGTGTTGGAGTCACTGTGGTGGAAAGCTAGAAGATTCACAACCTGGAATTTGCAGTTTTTGTTCATGCTATGTGCATGTTTTGTGCCATATAATTTAAACTTATGGTGTTTGTATTTTGGTCATGGCTATACATTATTTACATGTGTGGTTGGCATTAAACACTCTATGTATGTTTGTATGTTTAGGGATAGTTTTGAAGTATTTCAAGCTATATTAGTATATTTTTGGCAAACAGATCTCTGAAGCATACATATTTAAAAAAATGCTACCAATTTTTTTTGGTTGGTTATGTGGTTACCGCCCGAAATCGATTTCAGGGTTTCGGTCGGTTAAACAAGTATTGTCGGTCGGTTATCGGTCGGTCATAAGTGAATTTTAGTAGTCGGTTATTCGGTTATTGATTGGTTATTTATCTGACCGACCGAATGCTCACCCCTAGTACCATTCGCCAAGAGTTTCTCAATTTCAGTTCTATAAGATGCCGTGATGAACTTTAACATTAATCGATACACTTCGGGTAAGATAAATTTGTTTATTACTTGAGTGTATTGTTATTTTTTATGCTATCGGGACCCTTGGAATCTTGTTTAGGCATTTCTAATCCAACCAATCTATCAAAACAATGAATAACAATAATAATGAGCTTAGTTTGAAGATGGTATGGTAAACTCGTTCTGGACATTTAAACTAGGGATGGACTCGGGTCGGGCCCGGTTCGGGCCTTGAACTGGCCGGGCCTTGGTTCAAGGTATGGAAGGCCCGGAACTGGCCCGGGTAACCTTCGGCCGGGCCGGGCCTCGGTTATATTTTTTTTTTGGGCTTTTCCTAGTTAACCCCCAACCCTCCCCCTCACCCCCAAACCAACTCTAACCACCTCAAATGGCCCAAAATACCCAGCCCAACCCAAAAACTTATAAAAAATTCAAAAAAAAAAAAGGCTCGGCCCGGGCCTGAACCTGCTGGGCCGGTTCACCTTTTGAAGGGCCCGAGCCTGAACTGAGATCCCATCGGGCCGGGTGGCCTGAACTGGCCAACCAACCGGTTCACCGGGCCGGTCCGGGCTCGCACAGTAGCGGGCCGGTCTGGTTCCGGGCTGTTTGGCCCGACCCGAGTCCACCCCTTATTTAAACTGCACAGATAGATTATATGCAATTAGGAGTGGACTCGGGCCGGGCCAACCGGCCCGGAACCGGACCGACCCGCTACTGTGTGGGCCCGTACCGGCCCGGTGAACCGGTTGGTTGACCGGTTCGGGCCACCCGGCCCGGTGGGATGGCGGTTTGGGCTCGGGCCCTTCAAAAGGTGAACCGGCTGGTTCGGGCCCGGGCCAGGCCAATTTATTACTATTTTTTTTTTGATTTTTTTTTTAAGTTTTTGGGTTGGGCTGGGTATTTTGGGCCATTTGAGGTAGTTAGGGTTGGTTTGGGGGTGAGGGGGAAGGGTTGGGGGTTAACTAGGAAAAGCCAAAAAAAAAAAAAAAATAGAACCGAGGCCCGACCCGGACCGGCCCGGGGGTTACCCGAGCCGGTTCCGGGCCTCCCCTTCATGAACAGAGGCCCGCCCGGGCCCAGGCCCGAACCGGAACCGGTCCACCCCTATATGCAATGGAGGACTTTTCTATGTTTGCAGGTCCAGTCACTGCACTACATAGTGTTCAGATTAAACAGCCGTTTATATATATGACATTTGGCACACTTAATTTGGACTATATGCTCTTGAGTCTTGAATTGAAGATGCTCTTAGCAATTGTGTTCCTTTAAAAGAAGTACACTGTTTTATCAGTTATCACTAGTACTTTTAACAGGAAATTACTCAAACTAAGACTAAAACATAACATTTTTAAAAAAAATAAGAATTTATGCTTGGTTTTTCTTAAATAGGACTAAATATTATATTTCTATTCTAATTGAATTAGTTAACTATTATAATTAATTGAACCCTAGTTCCTATGCATAACTAATGTAGGTGTAACCAACCTACATTGAAATCCTATTTAAGAGAAATTCTTAAATGGGACTTTATGTAGCTTGTTCAATATGTGAGAGAAAACATAGTTGAATAGGAGGATAACTATGAATTGATTACTTTGAATTGATAGCAGGTCTTATACTCTTATAGCTACAGAGTTAAACTATTCCAGTTGTTTAAGTTGCTTTTAATAATCGGACATAGGGATGGACCCGGGCCGGTCCGGTTCCGGTATCACTGCCACTCTCCTTCACCTTCGCCTTCACCTTACGTACCAACAATAATGTCCTTGTTGCATTATATAAAATGTATATACATTCTTCTTTATATTCAAACATGTATACATAATTACATATACACTTGTTGGCACAAACATTTATAAATTTTACGCATACGTTGATATGAAACAAGATGTATGCCATAGAATTAGAGCTGGGTGGATGAAATGGAAGAGTGCTTCAGAATTTCTATGCAAATGATGTATGCTGACTAGATGAAAGGTAAATTTTATCGAACAACAATTAGGCTTGCATTAATGTATGGCGTAGAGTGTTGGACGATGAAGCAATGCCACGTTCAAAAGATGAGTGTGACAGAGTTGCGTTGGATGTGTGGACATATCAGAAAAGACCGCTTGAGGAATGAGTTAATCAGACAAAAGGGGGGAGTAGCACCTATAGAAGATAAGATGCAGAGTCTCGTTTGCGATGGTTTGGGCATGTGCGTAGAAGACCGAGTGATGCACCTGTTCTGGGTTATCTACTCGGTGAGTACTCAGCGAGTACTCGCAACTGGGGTACTGACCTTGTTGAGTAGCTACCTAACTCGGTCAGTGTTTTATTTCTTAGTTACTCGCCGAGTACTCGACGAGTTTCTCAACTCGGTGAAGTTTTCAACTCAGCGAGTTACTCGGTCTAACTCGGTCCCCCCTTAAAAATTGAAAAATTAAGTTACAAAACCTAGGTTAAATAGAATTTCTGACATCTACTATCCCCCTAGAGCTGTGACTACAATTTCTCAATAAGTTGTTATTTTTTTCTTGTATCTTCCCTTCTCTCGTTTCTTCTTCTTCCACCCCCAATCCTCCAGTTGATTTTTATTTTAAAGTATCAACACACATATATTTTGATATAAATAAATTCTTTTCACTAGTATGACTATATCTATTATACTACGTAACTTTTAATTAGTATCACGTTATTGATTGTTTACTATGGTACATCATTGATTGATACACACAAGCTTCTAATGGGGCTGAATATGCTAATACTACAATTAAGAGAAAACCAGATGATGTTTATGACTTTTGCTACTCCATCATTAACATTTCTATCATTTTATTCATTTCTATGCATTTTAAGATAATTTTAAGACTATTATATTTCTAAAATCTCTGGCACTTATGTTATTAAATTTAATTAATACAAGGCCGAGTAATCACCGAGTAATCCTGAGTAATCCCGAGTAATCGGTCCTACTCGCTACTCAGTCCTTGACCGAGTTACTACCGAGTAGTGAGTTAACTACCTAGCATCTGTTAGACGACTTGAGGGTGGGGAGAAGATGCAGAGAATAGAGGAAGGGGAAGACCCAAATAGACATGGTTTAGAGGAATCAGAACTGATATGCGTCTTCTTGGGTTGGATGAGAGTATGGTTTTGGAGAGAGAAAGTGGAGGGCGCACATCAATTGATGTCTTTTCTACCTTTCCTCTCCTCTTTCTTTTATTGTTTATCTTCTTTATCTTTTTATATTCTTATGTTACTTTTATCTTCTAGCTTTTTTATGCTCTTTTATTTTTTATCTTTTAGCTTTCTTATATTCTTGTGTTATTGTTATCTTATAATTATTTATCTTTATTTTATTCGTTTTATCTTACTTTTGTTCTTCCCTTTCTTGTACGTCTTCTCTGTTTGACATCGATATCATAGATCGATTCATGTTAGTCGACCTCAAATTCTTTTGTGATTAAGGCTTGGATGTTGTCGTTGTCGTTGTTTATATGAAACAAGAGCATATATATACAAACACACCATACACAGATGGTGTTTTCATAATCTAAAACGTTAGTCATAGAATGCTCATGTCAAACACATGGTGTTTTACAATAGGCATTTTGATGATTTTTCGTTCAACATCTGGATTTAGTTTTTGGAATATTTACACATAGATTAATTCGAACTAACAAAATAGCGGCTGGCCGTTGTATTATTTGAATAATATAAGAGAAAAGTGTCAAATTGGCCCTCGTACTTTGTACGGAAAGTCAATTATTCCCCTCTACTCTAAGTGTTGTCAATTAAGTCCTCCTACTTTGGAATTTTCGTCAAAATCGACGTTTAGCAGGTAACCCGCCAGCCAGCAGGTTACCTGCATACGTGGCCGCACACGTGCGGGCCACATCAACTTTTTTTCTTTTTCTTTTTCTTTCCTTCCTTTTCCTTCATTTTCTTTTCTCCTTCCCATTTCCCCTTCCGCAGAGACCCAACCACCGTCTCCTTCCTCCAGCTCCTGCAAAAAACCTCCAGCCCCCTCATCTCCCCATGCAAAAAAGACCTCAACTTCCATGTTTTGATCCAACTTAAGAAATTACAGAATCATAACCAGAAATGAATGAAGAAATGAAGAATTGGGATGAGGAAGAACAGAAAGAAAGAAGTTCGTTATTATCATCAAGCTGCCGAACTGAATTTACAATTGGTTGTTTCATAAAAGTCTAACAACTCAACTAACTAGCTACTCTCAACCGTTGATAAGATGATGAGGTGTCACCATCTTATTTATTACATGTCATCAAATGAAAATATTAAAGTAGCCTAGTTGTCATCCAGTTCAACACGAAGGATTTGATCTTAACATTTTCCCTTCCTTCCAATGAAGCTTATCCCCAAGCTTTAACCTCTAAAAACTGTTTAGTTATTTTATCATAATCCTCCCAAGTAGTTTCATCCTCCTGTAGATGCCCCCATCTGATAAGTAACTGCACTACTGCAACATTATTCCTTTTGACAATTCTTCAGCAGGAATTATCAGAGTGTTTCCCTCCTCAGTCATGATAGGAACATCATTAACAATTCTATCATTAATCCCCACTTGTTTCTTGAGCAACGAGACATGAAAATCTGGGTGTATTATTTTTGCTCCCCTCTGGTAATTGCAGTTTGTAGGCTACAACTCCTACTCTCTCAATAATAGGAAAAGGTCCACAATATTTAGGGCTCAATTTCCATATAGTAGACTTCCTTATACTCATCCGTCTGTAAGGTTTGAGTTTCAAGTAAACCCAATCTCCTACTGCATATTCCCTTTCACTCCTTTTCTTGTCAGCTAGCTCTTTCATCCTTTGCTGGGATTGCTGAAGTTGATGCTTAAGTTTCTCTGAAATCAACTGTCTTTGCTCCAGTGTTTGTTCAATTCCTACTACTGAAACCTCTCCATAAGATCTGATTTCCATCATTGATGGTTTAATTTATAGCCAAAAAGAGCCTCAAAAGGACTCATCCCAATAGCTGTATGATGACAACTATTGTACCACCATTGGGCCAATGTAAGCCATTTACTCCGGTCTTTAGGTATCTTCCCACTCATACATCTCAAGTAATTTTCCACACACTGATTTACTCTCTCTGTCTGACCATATGTCTGTGGGTGATATGCAGTACTCCATTGATGTTGCACTCCCAAGGATTTAAAGAGTTCTTTCCAAAACAAGCTGGTGAATATTTTATCTCTATCCGATATGATAGACTCAGTTAATCCATGTAATTTGCACACACGATTCATTAAAACTGTAGCTATCATAGATGCAGTAAAAGGGTGAGTCAAAGCTATGAAGTGGGCTGATTTAGTGTATCTGTCAACTACCACTAAGATGGTATAATAACCACTAGACTTAGGCATTTTTTCAATAAAGTCCATGGTTATGTGCCGCCATGCTTAATTGGAGGAGGTAGTGGCTGTAGTAACCATGGAGATTTTATGTTCTCATGTTTGCATAACCGGCAAATGGGACACTTGCTGACCATTTCCTGAATGTCTATTTTCATATTTGGCCACCAAAATACATTTCCCACTGTTTTTAGAGTTACAAGTACCCCTGAGTGTCCCCCTGTAACACCCTCATGGATCATAGTAACTATCTTCCTTCTCAAACTTCCAGAAGTCCCCACATACACCTTCCCTTTAAACCAGAGCATTCCATTTGGATATGAAAAACAGCTCATGTTATAAGGAGTAGATACCAGTTCTAAGATGGTTTCTTCTGCTTCTTTGTCACCTTGATAACAAATCTTGTTGCCACAATGGTTTGATCACTGATATATTAGCACAGTTCCCCATCTTACTACCTTCTTCTTGATCTCTTCTTGATAAAGCATCTGCCACTTTATTCTCAAAACCCTTTTTGTATTCTATCTTGTAATCATAGCCCAGTAACTTTGTAAGATATTTGTGCTGAGTAGGGGTAGAAATTCTCTGATTGACCTAATATTTGAGACTGATTTGGTCTGTTCTTATTAAAAATGGAGCATGTAATAGGTATGCTCTCCACTTCTCAATGGCCAAGAGAATGGCTAAAAACTCCTTTTCATAGATGGATAGCCCCAGGTTCTTAGGTCCCAAAGCTTTATTGACATAAGCTATAGGATGACCTTCCTGTAGTAGTACTGCTCCCAACCCTTCATAACATGCATCAGTTTCAACTACGAAAGGTTTATTAAAATCGGGAAGTTGTAAGATAGGCACACTACACATAGCCCTTTTTAGTTCTTCAAATGCTTTATGTGCCTCTTCATTCCATTTAAACATCCCCTTTTTTGTCAATTCAGTTAGAGGTCTAGCCTTCACACCATATCTTGAGCAAAACTTCTTGAAATACCAGTCATCCCCAAGAATCCTCTCAATGCTTTAAGAGTAGAAGGAACTGGCCATTCCATGATACTCTTAACCTTTAAAGGGTCCACTGCCACTCCTTTAGAACTGATTATGTGTTCTAAGTACTCCACTTGTGGAACCTCAAATACACATTTGGACTTTTTGGCAAATAAAATATGCTCCCTTAATAATTCAAAGACTTGCTCAAGGTGTTTCATGTGAGTCTCTTTATGTGAGCTATATATTAATATGTCATCAAAGAAGACCAACACAAATTGTCTCAAATAAGGATTGAAAATAGTGTTCATCGGAGTTTGAAATGTTGCTGGAGCATTAGTAAGTCCAAATGGCATTACTATAGACTCATATAGTCCACTAACAGTAGTAAAGGCAGTCTTTTCAATATCTTCCTCTTTCATTCTCACTTGATGATATCCCGCTCTTAGATCAATTTTAGAAAAGATTGTTGCTCCCTGCAGTTCATCCAACAGATCATCAATAAATGGTATGGGGTAATTATTCTTGATGGTGATAACATTCAATTTTCTGTGATCTACACAGAACCTCCAAGATCCATCTTTTTTCTTAACTAGAAGTACATGACTGGAATAAGGGCTTTGACTTGGTCTGATTATTCCAGAACTGATCATTTCTTTAATCGGTTTCTCTATTTCTTGCCTTTGAATGTACGAATATCTGTATGGAACTTGTTTGAATGGTTTCTCCCCTGGTTTCAGGTTGATTTGATGTTCACAAGCTCTTGAAGGAGGTAACTCTTGAGGATCCTTAAAGACATCTTGATAATCCCTGACAATAATTTCAAGTTCTTCTTCTTTGTGATTTTCAGATTCTTTTGCAGTTGCAGTTCCCACCATGCAAAAACACTGAAACAAAGTTCCATTTTTCTTCTTCAACAAATTATTCATCTTCTTCCTTGTTATCTTTTTAATGAGATTTCTGGCTGAATGCCTGGTACCAAACACTCTATGCCCTTTATGATCAAAAGTGATAGTGTGGTTGTCATAGTTTAACATAATAGGCCCCAATTTCCTCATTAGATCCACCCCATCACCATGTCATAACCTCCCCATGGCAATATTCTGACACTAGCTGAGAAACAATGCCTTGCCATTTCCCACTCTAGTCTAGGAAAATTAGAGTTACACTCAATCTGTCCTCCTCCTGCCACTGTAACATGTAGAGGATTAGTGATTTCAATTTCGCAATTAATTTTCCTAGCTGCCCCCGGATCTAAAAAACTGTGTGTGCTGCCAGAATCCACCAGTATGGTCAGGCTATTGTTCTTGACCTTCCCTATCAGTTTGATAGTGTCAGTAGGCATTTGTCCTTTTAGTGCATGTAATGACACTCCAAAGTTGATTTGTTCATCACTATCCTCATCATCCAATGAAGTTCTTGTATGCTCCTCCTGTTCTGTTAATAAGATTGCAAAGATCTTTTGCATTTATGCCCTACTGTGTATAACTCATCACAATTAAAACACAACCCTTTTCTTCTTCTAGCATCCAATTCATCTTTATGTAGCCTCCTAATTGGTAATGATTTCTCATTAGGAGCTGTCATTTTGTTTTCATTGCCCACTTTGTTGCTGTTATTTCTCAAAGTCATTCTTCCCGTTCTTCCCATTGCTTCCAATAATGATTCATGTTTCTCGGCAATCATAAAGGCCTGGTCTAATGTCTCAGGATCCACAATTTCAACCATATGCGTTATCTCATCCTTTAAACCACTCAAGAAACTTTTCAGAAAATAGAAATCGTCTAGAAATGTACGTATTCCTTTGTAACATAAAGGATTTAAGTTCTGAAAACTTGTCTATATAATCCTCTACTCCACTTCTTTGTCTTAATTTGTTAAATTCGCCAATTATATCATTGTCCTTAGAAAATCTGTCAAAGGATCAAGTTTACAAAAGTATCCCAACTCATTGCTTCTCTGCCATCAATTCTATCCATGTACAAGTATTCCGCAATTCTCTCAACATACATCCCACCAACACTATTTTTTCAAAATCAGACATATTATGAATCAACAAATAGCGCTGACATTTTCTAAATTTAGCGTTTTCATATACTGCTCTGATACCAATTGTTAAAATCTAGCTTAAGAAATTACAGAATCATAACCAGAAATGAATGAAGAAATGAAGAATTGGGGATGAGGAAGAAGTTCAGAAAGAAAAACGTTCGTTATTATCATCAAGCTGCCGAACTGAATTTACAATTGGTTGTTTTATAACAGTCTAACAACTCAGCTAACAAGCTACTCTCAACCGTCGATAAGATGATGAGGTGTCATCATCTTATTTATCACATGTCATCAAATGAAAAAATTAAAGTAGCCTAGTTGTCAGCCAATTCAGCACGGAGGATTTGATCTTAACATTCCAACTTACTTTCTTAATTTTCTTTCTCCCATTCCCCTTTCTTTCTTCCACAGCCAACGACCAGAGCAAGAAACACTATTTATGCGAAAATGATTATTGCTCATAACTCAAATGTGGGTGATTTTTATTCATTTATGATACAGATTGAAGTTCGTTGGCTAGGAACGATGCTCTATATCGAATTTGAAAAGTTGGGGATGAGATTTGGGGGCCGGTTTACAGTTGGTCGAAAATTCACATTTTTGGACATCTCCGACATTTTTCCGGCGACTTCGGGGCTCGGAACAAAAATCAAAATATGCAAAGGAGGTCATCGTGAACAGACGCACCTCCTCATATTTCTAGTTTAATTTTCCGAGCACCCTCCATTTTTGGTGACTACTGTTCATGTTGACATGTCTCTCCATGAAGAAAGGTTGGCTGCGGAAGAGAAAGAAAGATAGTGGGGAAAGAATAAAAGAAAAGGAAAATGAAAAAAGGAAAAAGAAAAGAAAAATTGATGAGGCTTGCCACTTTGCGCCATGTCAGGCCACGTGTGCGTCACATCAGGAGGTAACCTGCTGACTGGCGGGTTACCTGCTATAATTCCTATTTGACGAAAATTTCAAAGTAAGATGACTTAATTGACGAAACTTAAAGTAGAAGGGCATAATTGACTTTCCGTACAAAGTACGAGGGCCAATTTGACACTTTTCTCATAATATAAATCAATATCCACACAAAAGATCTGGCTATCAAGCTGCATGCAATGAAATAACATCAGGCTAGAAATTCCACATATATCTTTTTATACTTTTATAATACAAATACAATAAAATGTGCACACAACATAATCAAGGTTTTGGGTGATCATGCGAACGAATATGATATCAAACTATGGTGAGAGATAGTGAGGGGAGATTGAAGCCGAGTAGGACCTTCTGAGTACTGGAGAAAGGGAGGGTGGAAGGAGAGACTTACAGTCATACAAGAGCTAAAATACTTTCCAACAAACCATAAACCAGAACAGTTAAAGATAAAACACTTGGTGCTGAATCAAGAGCAAACGAGCAATCCATATTACAGAAATTAGAAAACTATTAGTACTATTACTACACAAATTAAGGAAATAGGAGAAGCAGCTGGGAGCCTGGGAGTCCAACATTACACTCCGCATCTACTGACCATTTTATCTTCAAAGAGAACATATCACTAATATGGTTGCCTAACAGCATAATTTATGTAGCCTCTCTACCCAAAATCAAGTCCAAATTGTCCTATAATTTTCAACAATAACTGGAAGACAATTGAACAAATAAAATAAAATAAATAACGAAAAATTATTCTTTTTGTTAAACTGTTATTCTTTTTGCTTGAAATTTTACGACTGTGACTGTTTACAAAATTTCAATGGTGTTTTTCTTTGGCAACTGTAAAGTAGTAGTGAATTAGAGACATCATTAGAACTAAATCGAGAAGTTCATCACTGTATTGAACAAATTAGCATCAATTAAAGTCAAGTAAGCTCTCTTGAATGAAGGGATTAAAGGAACATGGAATATAATATAATTCATTTGATGATACTAGTGTATGTAATACTGTTTCAGAACTATACTCTAGAAAAAACGAGAATTGAAGTAGAAATTAAATTTCCGGATTAATAACAGGGATGGCAATAAAATGACTCTTTTGACCCCCCATTAATTAGCACATGACACGCACATGCGTGTAGTTGGCCGGAAAAATCATCCGGAGGACCAAAACTGGGAAATATTCCATAGTCGTGCACCAAATCTGGGAAAAACAAAAGACGGGGACAAAAATTGTCCCAGCTACTAAAGTCGGGGACCAAAAGTGGAAAAATTTCTTACCTCAAACTATCCAGGAGAATTATGTCTAACAGAATGACTTAATCTCCATCTCTAAGCCTTGATCAATTTGAGAGTGCACCATTGACCTGTAATATATTGTGACTATATTTTTATCAATCACCAACTGAATGGCTTTTATGTACTACGTATTATTTATTAGCTACAGAGTCAAACTGAAAATATTAGCTTGTTAAGGAAAACTATAAGTAAAATTGAATATTAGTAGAAAAAAAAGGGAGCTTTGAGCAACACATAGAAGTCAATGTTGTGTTCTACCTTAGAAGTTTGATAATGGCATAGATAAGAGATAAGGTTCTTTGATGGTGTTTATTTAGCAACATTTACTACATACTATTTATAGAGAAGTCAATGGTGTGTTCAAACAATTGTATTTATTATGATATAACATCAGTCTCTAGCACATGGCTCAAGGGAGGTGTTGGCTGCGAGAGATTCTTCAGAATGAGCTTTTCCAGTTTTAAACTATAATATTATTAAAAGAGTTTTAGTGCGATTTAATTCGTACGGTAAGATCTATCTGCTGCGATCAAGACAACGGTAGCCCTTATAACCAGATGCATAGCAAATAAAAACACACTGAACAGATCGGGGAGATAATTTATTTGCTGAGGTGGCGGAAAAATTTGGGTAACATGCCGAACCAAAAACTCGCATAAATGAATAATCGGGAACCCGATGAAATAATATTTGGTACAGTGATAGACCATTTAAAATGGGAGAGGGTAATGTGTTAATAATATATGCAATGGTAAAAAATGCATCAACCCAGAATGTACTCGGTACCGAAGCTTCAAGAAGCATCATTCGAGTTAATTCAAGGAGATGATGATGCTTGCGTTCAGCAACCCCGACCCATTTTGTTGGAGCGTGTCAGGACAAGATTTTTGAAAATAAATACCATTTGAGGAGAAAAAGTGCTGCATATTGTGATTAACAAATTCCCGCCCCCATCACTTTGAAAATTTTAATTTTCTCATTAAAAAGGTTTTCAATTAATACTTTAAAAATTTTAAAGTGCATAAAACTTCACTTTTCTGATGCATGGGATAAATCTAGGTAAAACGAGAATAGTCATCAATAAAACATACATAGTATTTGAAGCCTAAATTGGAACCAACTGGAGTTTGTCATACATCAGAATGAATAAGTTGCAATGGAAGAAAAGAATTATGACTAGCATTCGTAAAGGGCAAACATTATGATTTTCCCAGTCTACAAGCAAGTGAAGCAACACAATCATGAGTAAAAGAAGAATGGCTACATAAAAATTGTTTTCGTTTAAGAAACTGCAAAACATGGTCCCCACAGTGACCTAGTCTACGGTGCCACACAGGGCCAAAAGCTAAAACATAAGCTAAGAGTAACGATGATGATGACGAAAAATGGAGAGGATATAGCGGTCCATTACTATAAGCATGCAAAAGCACCACCCCCGAGGCCTTGTCCTTAATCAAAAATGAATTTATATAAAAAATGACAATACAATTATTATCAGCACATAATCTCTGAATGGAAATTAAATTATACTTTAATTGAGGCACATGATAAACAGACTGTAATGTGAGAGGAAGACCAGATGAAGGTAAAGCAACATCACTAACATGACAGATGGGTAAATGGGCACCATTAGCAACACTAATAGAATTATAGCCAATATAAACGGATTTATTAATTAAATTACCTTCAGATGCAGTCATATGAGCAGATGCTCCCGAGTCAGGATACCATAAAGCCGAATTAGATTCACCAGAGTCAGTCAACAGTGCTCGAGTGGAAGGCTAGGTGAACCTAGATGGACAAGCAATAACGGAATGACCTGCAGAGAAACAAATTTGACAAACAACAGGATGGGGAACCGCCCCAAGAATACCCCCATCTGAGGAAGAGCCTGCAAAACCAAAGTTAGTAGCACAAACAGGTAAAACATTACTATTTAAATGTGACACAATAGAGTTACAAAAAACAGTACCCATAGGAGGGACATCCCCTGCTGAAGGACCACCATGTGGCTGTTCCCTACGGTGACATCGCATAAGGTGGATACCAGAACACTGGCTGGCCGTAAGGTACTGTCTGCTGGCCGCGTCCCCTGCCACGACCACCGCGGCCTCTTCTGCCCCATCCACATCCTCCGCGTCCGCGCTGAGAGTTCCAAGGAGGTCGTTGCTGCTGTGGCGGTGCACCCAGTTGTTGGAGGTGCTGCGGACCAGCATGCGTGCTGTGCTGCGGGATCTATGTGCTGAAGGCCTGGTGAACCGGCGACTGATCGTGGGACCGAAGATATAGAACCCTTTGTTCTAAAGTGTCTCAAATGGAAAATTGTGAGGAAAAAGAGACTGTAGTGAACAAGGATTCATACTCGGAGCCAAGTCCCATAATGGTGGATTTCAGCAGGTCACGTTGTGAGACGGGGCAATTAATAGTGGCAATATCATCGACCAAGCTTTTTATTTCATGTAAATAACTGTCGATGGATTGCTCAAGTTTCTTTTTAATTTGTGAAAATAGACGCTTTAATTCCATAGACCAGGCTAAACTGGCACTCTGGCAGACATAAACCGTGATTCTAACCGTTCCCAAATTTTACAAGAGTGTTTTAAATCCCGAACATCAATAAGAACATCACGTGAGAGAGTTGCGAACATCCATGAACGAGTTGTTTGATCAATTCGCAACCAAATATCAAATTCGGGATTTGAAATTTGGCGGTCAAGAACATCTATGGAATAAGCGGAAGGTACCTGAATAAATCCATCTACCATGCCTAGAAGACCTTGTGAAACAAGGAACGACTCAAACTGGGTTCTCCACGTAGTGTAGTCTTCGACAACGAGAAGCTTGGTGGTAACAATGTTTGTAACGTTGGTAGCCACGTGATAAATTGTTTGAGCCAAATCTGCCAGAGAGCAGCCAATGGTGCGAACCGGTGTGGTGCGAACCGGATGTAGGTTGGAAGAGATACCCGGAGATCCGACAAAAGTGGGGCCGACAAAAGATACAGCCGTATAGGGAGACGGATCAAGCGTAATTTGTGGCACCGGAGAGGGAGCTGGCCATGGAAACACCGGGGGTAGATTCTGGAAGAGTGAATATGGCATGGATGTCCTACCGGGTGATGTAAAAGCGGAAGAAAATGTCACCCCGGCCTCGACGAAGTTGAGCACTGGCTGCGGTCCAACATGAAGAGGAGCGTCAGTGCTATGGGAAGAGACGACCGCGACTGACGAACCGGAAGCGGTAGTAGAGGGGACTGCCGTGCTGAATGCAGTGGAAGAATTGGAAGCGGATGACATCATGTGAACCGTGCGACAGCGGCGGATTGAGAAGAAAGCCGGGCGACGGTGTAGAGAGAGAAGGAACTGAAAAAATTAGGGTTTTAGTATGCTCGTGATACCATGTAAAATAATGAAACAAGATACTCTCTAAGGAGCCCTGGCAGGTATATTTATAATAAAGAGAGTTTAATGTAAAGTACAATACTGATCCTATAATAATTCTATTACATTCGTCTATCGGCCTCCGCCGCCGCCCTACAGCTGGGGTTATCCTATCCTCGACGCTTACCAACCCCCGTACGGTGGTTGACATAGATGATCATCATCGATCATTTTTTATGTAATTTTATTTCATCCCGTTCCGGCTAGGCCGGTGAAGCTAGATTAGTAATTAAGTTTAATTTAATTTAGCCTTTTTAATTTATATGATTAGCTATATATCTAAATGCAGGGTTTGGTTAATTGTTGTATTTGATTATTGTCTCCAATTAATTTAGTGTTTTGACATATATATTCGCTAGCTCTTGTACGTGTCTTTGGAGGTTGCCGTGGTTAAGGCCGGAGTGGCGTCAAAGATGATGGGTTTGCCTCGCCGACGGCCATATCAAAGCTAGCTAAGTCATTGTATCGAGTTTAAATTTCAAATAGATAAACCTTTCAGAGATGAACGACCAAATAGACAACTCTTGTAGGATGTCATTGCAACAATTATATATCGAATGTGCATTATAAAATTTTGAAATTATAATCTATTTATATATAAGTAAAAAATAGCTCCTTAAAAGACAATTTTACCCTTAATGAATCCTATGTGT